ATATATAGCTCACAAAGCTGAAAACATTAAAAATTCCATCTCATCAGTTCAACATGTCAAAACCATAAAAATCTCAAGGAATTCTCACGATCCACTATCCAAGAAAAAACACAGACGCCCGAAGACTAGTTTCAGAAAAGGCCAAGTTCTGACAAGTAAAACAACAGAACAAACTATACAGTCCTGTACCTCTTCGGACATAATTATCCTGCATATTACTGCAATCCATACTAACTACCGTCTGGTTTGCAACATCATCGACTGATTATTTCACTTGCTGTAAGTTAAGTTTTTGAAGCTTCAACACTCAAAAAGCCATATCATGAAACTTACATCTCGGAACTACCTAGAAAAGCATAATCGAACTGGATAAGAGTAAACACAAACTTCCAACACTTTATAAGAACTAAAAGACAGAACGTAATAAAAACAATTACCCTTTTTTCCAGAATTTTTAATTGGCCAACTTCTTCACTAAGCATAGAAACGCGAAACAAACCCATAAACTTTCATACCACAAGAGCAATAGGTGATTAGACTACCCTGCAGTCCTACTTCCAGCTGCTAAACAAGACGATTTCAAAAATGTCCTATTTAGCAACTATAATTCAAAAAAAATTAATGATATGTAATCAAATATTCTACCAGACCAAAAGACAACCTAAAAAGTACAGATAAACAGAAGTGTTCATTGAAATATTCAAATGAAAATTTACTCAATCTTTTAAAAAAAACTATTTTTTAAAAAACTTAACCAGCCTCAGACTAACAAATCTCAATAAAACAAGAAACAGCAAAAGTGACCAGACAAAACAATAAAATAAAATAAAAATGAATTTTAAAACCAAGGAAGAAGTAAAAACAAGAAACTGCTCATAGACAAGATATTCAAAACGTGCAAATCAAAAAACCGCACGAAAAATAATAAAATAAATATAAACCTGAAGAGTAATCATCACGTGAGAATTAGAAATCACATCTTAATCAGAAACTAAAGAAAAATGATAAAATTAACTATATAACTAACATATTATTATTACTATTATCATTTCAAAAAACCCGTAGAATTATAACCTATTGAGCAGAACGTGAAGGTTTAAAACAACATCATTAACATTGCACAACATTTAAAACAACTGTTTTCAGTAGAACGAAAAATTCTAAGAATATTTTCCCCTGGCGTTCCAGGGAAATACTCTCGAAAAATATCCTAAACTCCCTAACACTAACAGTGAAAAAAATGTGCGGGTCAAAGAACGTTCCCATAAACATAAATGCACACCGGCGAAACAATACTCACAAAGATCAAAAATGAATCTTTTACACCACAATTTCATACTTACGAATGACTTTATCCCTACAACAAGTGTACAAGTACGTATCGTCAAATATCGAAAAATCGTAAACAGGGTCACAATCGGCTCCAGAAAAGCAAAGAAGCGCAGACCTTCGTTTCAGTGTTTTCTCATATCCACATACGCTACCGTCGCCTAAAATTAAGAGCTTCTTATAAAACCTACAGAAAAACCAAAAACAAATCAAAACCAGAGAACGCCTTTAGCAAACAATTATACTTAGTTGAACAGATGAAGTATAAAAGTAGGTACTCATGAACCGTGAACATCATCTAAAGCTTTTTTATACGAAAAAAAAGAAATGCAATTGTCAACTCACGATATGAAACAAACACCATATCCCTGCACATCCTTGAAATGTGTGTAATATCGGATCTATAAGTTTGCATTTTTCCAACAACTTTTCTGAAAGTTATGCTTATTGCTCAACGATTTTATAAGGTCCAAAATAACAAATAAATGCAGTTGTATTTGAATTAAAAAAAACGATTCTAAGTATGAAAAGTTTCACTTGTTCCTAATGTCATAAGCTGTTAGAACGCCTTTTTCACTCCCAACAAACAGTACGTTCGACCCAGTGTTGAAATTAACAGCTGTACATTCATCATCCTCCGTACTTAACAATTTTACCTAAACGTAACAACTTGGGAAAGCGACCACAAAACTGCGAGAGATCAGGGCATGTAGATCAAGTTTGTAAAACGATGAAGTAAAACTAACAATATCAGCTGAACGGATATCTAACAAGCTTGCTCCTTCTTCAGCAGCAATACCACAAATATCTGAAGTCGAGAATGGTATGCGTAAATAAACAAACCACACTTTCATGTCACTGAAGAGCGATTTGAAAAAAAAAGAAATAGAAATTTACCAGATTCATTTGAATTGAGAACAATGGCATTCACAGCGCCTTGATTAGGATGATACGTATGCAGACATTCTGAAGAAGCGCAATTCCATATCTTCAAGGTACCATCTTTTGCTCCTGATAGAACATCTTTCCCAACACCAATAAATGCAATGTCTTGCACACCTAATTAAAAAAGAAGATTCAATATAGTCTATTAGAACGTTTAAAGGAAATTCTTTAAAAAAACTATCTTAATTTCAAACCTCTTGTATGGCCATGAAACGTTCGATAACAAAGGCCTGTTTCAGCACTTAAAACACGAACACTCATATCTTCACCGCAACTTAACACGACAAGGCCAGATGGAAAAAACCTAACCTTATTTACATCCATATTATCTCCTTCAAACCTCTTCTAAAATAAATAACGTATTCTCAATAGTTCATAAAAAGCTTCAAAAGAAAATTACAGAAGCCAAAAAATATAGAGTGAGCTGATGCTCCAAACAACGAGCTAAGATATAAGAAAAGCAAACTCGCAGACACAACTTAATTTAAAAAGAAACATAAGAAAAGTAATACAATGGCTGCTTACTATAAGCTCCCCAGTTTCCGAATTCCAGATCTTAATCGAACCATCCGCAGACGATGAGACAATCAACTTCCCAGTACAGTTGACGTCCACACTTAAAATTGCGGTGCGGTGAACATCATTGAAATTCACAACAGGTGCAAAATAGGTAGTCTCAAACTCTCCAAGAGCGATTAAAAGACGACGCTAAGAAAGCATATAATAATAATGTAGTTACTGTCCATCCAGTGTAAAGTAAAACAAGACAAATCGCATAAAAAGTGAATTTAGAACCACACAGTCACAACCACATCCGTTTAAAGTAATGCTCAATTCCACCTTTGTAGGGAATTTCTTCTATGAAACCCAGATCAAAACAGATTAAACTTTGAAGTGATTCTCTATTTACTCCAAGGTTTCAACAACTTCTACTACTTCATTGCAGAGCTGAAAATGAAGAAAAGTGTACAAAACCAAGCTTATCAAAAACTTTTTGGCAGAAGTAATAGCAACTTTACGCTCAAGCATTTTACACATTAGCAGACAGATTCAGAAATCGGACACTGGGATATCACCCCAAAAGTTCAGAACAAAATAAATTTCCTCTAACCAATACCTTAATCTAAAGAATCAAACACCACTACCTTTGAGATTAATCACAATTAACAGTGATTAGGGCTTAACTATTGTACAGTTATGGAAGTGCTCAACTACAAAAAGACAACGATGTTTGGATGGAATAGAAAAGACCCAGTTGAATAAAATGTGAGAAAATGACAAAAATATATAAAATTATTTTCTGAGATATGACAGATGCATTAAAAAAGTTTAAGATGAATCAGAGTGAAGCAAAAACCTCATCCACCAATGTAAGCTGTTCCAAACTTGAAGCGCAAGTTCAGGTCACCAAATACTGTAAAAGAAACATGGCTCCGAACTGCTCAAATCAAATTTAAACAGAAAACTCCCATAAAATTTAGGCGGCAAACTAGTGAATTTGATAAGCAAGGTATGACATCTGCAGGAGCTGTCATACAACATATCTCGAAAAATAGATTTTTTGTGAGAAGTACTACCATAAAATTGACTTCCAGTCCTTTACTCGATAAGAACATTTGCATGGCTCATAAAAACGATACTTTGAAGCCAAGTACAGTCTGATGTTGAAATGAGATGAGACTCAAAAAATAACTCAAAATTTTCTCACTCTGGTACTCTGCAGGGCTAACCTGTCAACAAAAACAATCAGTTAGGCTTTTTATAAGCAATAAACTGAAAGAGAACAAAATGAATGTTGAAATGCAAACGCAAAAGAGGCGCGACACGTATAAAAAATACAAAACCTTCAATATGAACTTACTTAGAAATAGATACATGTAAAGAGATTTGGCAAAGAAATAATTTATTATGAGAAAGAACCTTAGGACAGAAATGGACACGACCGTACCTACTTACTTTTTCAATTCTCCGTACACGCATGTCATGAAACGAGACTAACGTTTTGTCATCAAGACTCGTACATTCTGGAATAAGTGTACCATCCTTGACTAGCACGTTACCAACTTCCTTCATTTTGTTGTCAATATTAACAGCTATTGTAAGACCATCTGAAGGGACTCTAGAACAGAAAATTTCTCCATTACAGGTGGTACAAATTATCAAAAATTTACAAAACTTTGATTATTATGCGATAAAATCATTAGGTGAAGATCAAGGATTTAAAACATGAAAAGCACAAAAAAACCCGTCACACACTCTTCTTTTGACCCGTACGCAAACACTGCAACTTTGAGACCAAATAATTATCATTTTATATCAGCTGACGAACATTTTACATCCCAATGAAAAGTTTAACATAATTCTCATTTGTTCAGTTTAGACTTTCCTAGAATTCAATTAACCGATAAAAAAATAAATATCAACTTACCCAATAACTGAATACCAGTCATGATCAGTAAATATTGCCACTTCTTCTGTAGTACCACCGGCGTACTCGGCTGCCATTTGTTCCAATTAAATCTTTACAGAAAACAAAAGTTAAAATTTAGAATAATTCAACAACAATTTATGATGCCGTGTAAGAGTTATTCGTAAGAAAAATGCGCAATCCTTTCCTGCGTTTTGCTTTACAACTTAGCTATAAACGCAATAGAGTCGTTGCGTAGTTGTTGCTGGTGTTGTTGTTTGAAACTTGTCCAATAAAGACAGCAAAAAAAAGGCGTAGGGAAAACCAGAAAAGAAATAAATGAATAAAAATAAAGAACTTTCTTATCAATAAAAATGTTAACGAAAAACTGCAAGAGATAAAAAAAAAACGAAGATGAACGACAAAATCTGACAAACAACCATCATAATTAGAACTATTAATGTACAACTGAATATTTGAAAAATTACAACAATAGTATACAATAACAAACAGCAACAAGTACTCACTATTCATGGATACTGACTGTTTTTTAATACACTCACTATAGGAACACTATTAAAAAAGTAGTAATTATTCTCCCCACTACGTGCAATGTTTACCAAAAGAACATCATCAACACCACCTTCAGTTTCCTGTTTTTATGAACATTTTTGGAAAGGCAACAGCTATAACTTTTTTTAAACATTGAAAAGAAAAAAAAAATTTGACAATAAGAAATATGGCGATCACTTTATGATTGAATTCCATAAAGTTAAAGTTTAACAGAGCTGAAATGGTTTCATCTAGAATCCGCTAAAAACAATCAATAACATCTTCAGTTAGAACAGTTAAACAACTGCCGAGGGAACAACTGTAAAATGGATAGGATGCATAGCGAAAAAAATAATCTCAGATTAAAAAAAAATAAAATAAA